ACATACATACACAAAATAAACACACACGACATACACACTCCCACGTACACACACACACACATACACAGAGTGTGTGAGAGAGAGAAAAAAAAAATAGATATACATATATATATATATATACATGTGTATATATATATATGTATATTTGTATGTTTATATATATACATACATACACACACATGTGTGTGTGTGCATAAAGTTATTTAGATAAATACATAGATGTACACAGTTACATATATATTTAGATATATTATATACATACATTTATATATACATATATGAATATTATATATATATATATATATATATATATATATATATATAATATATAGATATTATAGATATATAATTTATGAATATACATTATACATATATATGTATATATGTATGTATATATATTTATATATATGTAAATATATATATAGAGAGAGAGAGAGCCAGAGACCCAAACACACACGCATTGTATATATCACATATATTTACACACTGTGTGTTGTGCGTGCGTGTGTGCGTGTGTGCGTGTGTGTGTGTCTCTAATTTCCTATCTATCTATGTTTATGCATACATATATTTACAATATTTACATATGTATTATGTATAAATATAGATATAGATAGTAATAAAGATATACATTCATATGTATACACATAAACACACATATACACACATATGTGTGTGTGTATACATATACATACATATATTTACATATAAAATAAAAATATGTATGTGGATATATATATACATATATATACATATGAATTTATGTATATTTGTATATACATAAATAAATAGATATACATACACATACACATTATGTGTGTATATATATATATATATATATATATATATATATATATATATATATATATATATATATATATATATGTATGTATATGTATGTATATATATACTGATATAGATATATATATATATATATATATATATATATATATATATATATATATATATATATATATATATATATATATATATATATATATATATATATATATATAACATACCTCTCGATCGGGATTCGATCCCTCGCCGCCAATGCACGTGAATGCAAGACGCCGCCTCAGACCACTCATACAACGACCCTAAAAGTAGTGAGCAACTAGGACCTTACTAGCATCCATAGATATTACCTACCTACTCATACATGAGTAAGAATAGCGAAGTTTCACTCTCACTCCCCGTGGGCACTCAATATTTATGGACAGAGCAGGACAAATCCAAATCAGATAACCTGAGGTGCATTATGAAAGATGGATTAAATCATTTATGTATATGTGTGTGTGTGTGTGTGTGTGTGTACATACATATATTTGTATATATATATATATATATATATATATATATATATATATATATATATATATATATATATATATATATATATATATATATATATATATATATATATATATATATATATATATATATATATATATATATATATATATATATGTATATATGTATATATATACATATATATACATATATAGATAGATAGATAGGGATATAATGAATCATAAATGCGAAGCAAACAAAAAGGCACAGCTTAAACATTATTATTAAAACCAAAAAAAGCGAAAGAAATACACGTAAATATGAGGCAATCTAAAATGAAACTGATAAAACATTACCTGTTACTCCTGCAGACTCACTGGAAGGTCCAGCGGTTAAAGGCGTCAAAGAAAATCACAAATAAAAAGAACAAAGCTTGAAAACGGCGGTTGTCTGAGGGATGACCCAGCCGTAGCTTCATGACCCGATGCCTGTGCGCAACTCCCTCAGGTGGTGACCCCACCTTATTCACGCGAACAAGGTCATGCGCCAGGAGGTGTTCGCGCATCAAGACTCATTTTAACCGGAGCTGTCGTTTGCCTCTTCGGATAAATACTTAAAAATACACATTTATAATATGATTGCCGCATTAATTGAAAATCTAAAGGAGGTTCGTCCCAGTAAAATACATATAAAACATTAAGAACATAAAAAGAGAGGAACATATATACATGAATTGAATAAACGATGGAATTGTTGTCCGTGGGGCTAGCTGAGGGGTTTGGCGCCAAATGCTCGTTGACAATTTTCCTTCAGCCTTGTCCGTCGCCATATTGGGCGCCATCTTGGAAAGTGCGTATCTTCGAGGGCGACCTCCCGACGTCATCCTTCCAGGCCTCGAACGAATCAGGGCGTCGTCGACTCGCACTGATTAGCCATCTCTCCTCGTAATGTAAAAATTTGCCCAGGGCGTCGCCATCGTCCTTCTCCGTCAGGTACTCCCTCCTGCAGCGCCTCCGTCGGTGCCTTCGCCGGGATCCTCGCGCCCTGGTCCGAATTTCTGCTTCTTCTCTTGGGGAACTTTCAGGGGGTTTCCGATGATGCTGATTGGGCGAGGCCGTTTATATATGTTTATATATATATATATATATATATATATATATATATATATATATATATATATATATATATATATATATATATATATATATATATATATGTATGTATGTATGTATGTACACACACACATATATATACATATTCGTGTGTGTGTGGGCGGGTCTGTTGTATTTGAATATATACATATATAGATATATATGTTGTATTAGCCAAAAAGTAAAAATATCCCTAGAGTGTAATACAAAGATTGTAACGACTGCTATGTCTGAGGCAATGGAAACTGTAAAAATCATAATGATATTGACAGATGGAATCTATATAGATAGATATAGATTTAGAGATATACACTGAATCGCTGTCTAAATCACTAGAACCAACTAACTCCAAAGCTTAAAAGTATCAGTTACTTCAGTACAGATTGGAATATCTGTCTCTCTCAGAAAGACTCCTCATATAGACCTATATCTCTGTATCCAGTGTAGTTTTTTTTCTGGAACAATATTTTTGAAACAAATGGAACTAGTCACTATGGCATGTGTTGGAGGCCCTGAATTTCATGATTCAGACAGGTTTTCACATCTGACCTCATGAATGAAGCAGAAAACGAGCTACCGAGGGATGGTTGGTGGAGGAGACAAGTGGAGCACTGTCAGTGGATGGGAAAGCGCTGAAAAATAGAGGAACAGCACAAATGGAAATAAAAGATAATACGAAAGATAAGCTTTGTTTATTGTCAAAAGTTATTGGCAAGCCTCTGGGCGCGAGATATCATGCCCCAATTACGGTTTATGATTTTTTTTTTTTTTTATGTTGAGGTCACCAATGCTTTATTGCAGGTCACAGCAGACAATTCCCTCTGGCAAAGCGGCATAGAAAAGCGACACAGACCCTCCTTCTTTGGCAGTTCTGGGATTCTAGCCGGAGATCAGGGGCCGGAGGACATGATGCCTGCTCGTCAGGATAGAATTGTGGCTCAAGAGCTCTTTCGAATTTGCATCAAGCTGCATAGAACACTGCATGCTGCAGAGTGGCCTGCTGCCTGCTGCAGAGTGCTAACTCTTGCTGCTGTTACGCTGGAGCTTGAAACCTGGCCACTAAGAGAACCACCCCACCCGCCCCCCCCCCCGCCAACACACACACCGCCTCTTTCTGAAACCGAACCTGACCTCCAACTCGTCCAGTTCCGGTTCGTTCTTTTACCAATACAGCCAATTCTTACTTAAAGGCAGTGTTGCTACTCTGTGGAATGAATCCACAAATATGAGCATAAATTGACTTTTTGTTGAACCCTTTTTGTGGGTTATTTTGCGGAAGCATCCATTCGCAGTTATGAATGGTTGTGGGAAAACAAAATGGATTTTTTAGGTTCTCTTCCTCGTTTTTCTGCGCCTTTCCTTTCTGTCTCTTCTGCACTCTTTGGATCTTGGTTTAAAAGCCCTATATTCCTTAGATATTCAGTTTATGCCTCATATTAGTTCGGTTTTCTTTATTTGTGTTTCTCTTTAATTCTTTTTACCGAGAAAGTTCTCGAAAGATGAATCTTCATCGAGTGATTTCTCACATGTTTTATGTAACTGGTATATTTAACACGTAATTCAAAATCAACACTTATTTTATTAAAATATAACTTGCCTCTGTCCCATCAGATGACGAGATGCTCGTTGATTTTACACCTTGATTTTACTGCGTGGTTAAGTCATTTACTCAGGGCTGTCGTTCGTAAAATCGAGGTTTTGCTTTCATCTGGCAATCCTTACACATTTCAGCACTGATACTCATTCTTCACAAAGGAAAATAACACCCATGGCAAGTCATGAACAGCTGACTGCGTGCGACTCGCTCACAGACGATGAAGGCAGATGACTTAAGCGCCCCGCGACCTTGAATGCGACTGATTGACAGGAATGAAGAAGGAAGAGAAAGATTGCACAGCAAAGAGCTTGAAAGCTTTCTCTTCGCAGCTGGAGATGGCGAAGGAGGAGTGGGAAATGGTGGATGGCGAAGGAGAAAGATGGTGGATGGTGGTGGATGGCGATGGTGGATGGCGAAGGAGAAAGAAAAGCGAAGGAGATGGTGGATGGCGAAGGAGAAAGAAAAGGATGGTGGATGGCGAAGGAGCGAAGGAGAAAGAAAAGGAGAAGATGGTGGATGGCGAAGGAGAAAGAAAAGGAGAAGATGGTGGATGGCGAAGGAGAAAGAAAAGGAGAAGATGGTGGATGGCGAAGGAGAAAGAAAAGGAGAAGATGGCGAAGGAGAAAGAAAAGGAGAAGATGGTGGATGGCGAAGGAGAAAGAAAGGAGAGATGGTGGATGGCGAAGGAGAAAGAAAAGAAGATGGTGGATGTTGGTGGATGGCGAAGGAGAATGGTGGATGGCGAAGGAGAAAGAACGTGGCGACGAAGGAGAAAGAAAAGGAGAAGATGGTGGATGGCGAAGGAGAATGATGTTGTGAATATGTTATAAGTGAAAACGAAGATAATACTCACCAAGAATGGATTACGGCAATAACAATATATATTTAGAAGTTGCTGGGTCCAACTGACGGATATAAAGCTAGAAGAAATGTATTACTCTTATCCCCTTTACTTCTCTCTTTACCATAACTATCACCATCACTTTCCCTAACTAAAGAATATGGGAATTAATAACCACAGTTAGCATGCGTTGTTTATTTTCATTTTAATTTGATTCATCAAACCAAACACTGACAGGAAGCATCAAACAGAAATAGAAAACAAAAGACGAGCGTGTCTAACACCTCGTACAACTTCCACACGAAGGATAAGGCATCGGACACGGCACCAAATAGGCGTCACCTGGGAAGATAAGTTTATTATTGTATCATTGTAAAGTTTAAATTGTTTTACTATTTATAGAGCTCTTTCTGTCATTGTTTTTATTCAGTAATGACTTTCATTCATTCCATTGTTTCTGTAATTGTTTATTATTCAATAGCGACTTTCATTACTGACTGACTTTACCGTTTAGTAAGCATTATAAAAGCTCATTATTTCACTCTTATTTGTCATTTTTATTATTATTATCCTATTCTAAAGTCAATTATAATTCGTTCGTCTAAATAACATCCGGACATTTTATTGTCTTGTTTCTGTGATATTTGCTTGACAAGGAAGGGAACAGGCGCCTTAGGAAATGCAATTTTTGTCTTGTGTTGACACGTTGGTTAGGCTACGATGTTTCTTTATATTTTGGCGTTTGCTTCCGTTGCCTTTTCTTGTTGTTGTTATTGTTATTGGTGTTGATGTTGTTCCTGTAACTGTCTGTCTCCCCCCCCCCCATGCCTCACCCCCTTTTGAAAAGCAGTTATCCAGGCTGGTTAATGAAATAGTGATTAAACTTACTTTGATAATGAGCATCGGCTCCCACGCTGCCGGAGATTGCACCTTCATCCTGCACGAAACCTTGCAGATCTGCAGAATGTTTGGCTTACAATAGTACTTCATTTAATAGTTCATTCAAAGGTTGTATGTGTGTGTGCTAGTATACATACACATATATGTATATAGACACACACATATGTTTATATATATATATATATATATATATATATATATATATATATATATATATATATATTCAAAATCGTTCATTAGTTCTGCCTTTGGATACTTACAAACCCAAAAAGATTTGACTTTTGACTGGCGTTTCTTACTCGCTTCTTTAACCAAATCAGTAAAGTAACAGATGTTCGCATCAAAATCATTTTCTTTCGCCAGGCTTCTCAAATACAAGGTCTGTCTCTGATAATAATCCTGGCGCTTTAGCTAAACCAAATAAAAGGGCTAAATCCCTTACCATGTTCAAGAATATTTTTCACCTAGTTAACGCCATTACCGCCAGAGCACTGCTTCTCATGGGGCTTGATCGACAACCTTCGCTTACTTGTCTGAGAGCCCAAGCTTCCTCCGCCGGCACTGGACTGCGCCGAGGACCACATTCCTCCCTTGCCCGAAAGATCGCCCAGGTACGCTGTGTGGAGACAGAATAGAAGATTGTTCATGAATCGAGGATGTCTCCAGTGTTTGGAAGTCTGCGAAATGAATGAAATACGAAATGAATGAAATATAGCCTCTGGAGTAGTGAAACCAGGTGACTGAGGTGCTGGAGCCATGCTTGGTCTTTAAGCCGAATAAATGGCGTAGGGTGGCGGTGGGAAGGAAAGGTAACGGGATGAAGAACTAGAGGGTGCTGCCAAATGCATTTCGGGGAATAAAGAGAAAAGGAAGGGAAAGTGAGGGAGATTCACTGCCTCGGCTGCATCCTCCGTTGTGGTACGAGGATTGATAGCAAGAACTGGGCGCAAAAATCGTTTAAAAAACTAAGTAATTCTAGATTTATGAGGCAAAAGATTTAAGGGGAAAATGGGATCGACTTACTCCCCCGACTGCGTCCACCGTCAACGCTCTCCGCGTCGACAGCTCCCCTCAACTGCCCTGAGTTCGTCAGCTTGCCCTGCAGACCTGTGGCGGAAAGAACACGTGAATTTCTCACAGTGAAACACTGTCTATTCTCTCGCGATGTATATGGGATGTCTGTGATTTGAGAGGGACGTCGAGAGGTAAAGAGAGAGAGAGAGACAGGGAGGGAAGAGAGTGAGATAATGAAATATGATATTTGTGAACTGAGACAGACAGGCAGACAGAGAGAGAAAAAATCGAGATGGATAGAGAGAATGAGGAATAATAGAAATAATAAAAAGGGGGGGGACGAGTCAGAGATGGAGCAAGAGGAAAGGAGATAGGAGTAAGAGATGGAAGAGTGGAGAGGAAACGAAAGAGAAAGACACACAGAGCAAAAGGAAAGGAGAGAGAATAATACTGAAAGAAAGGGAGAAAAAGACAGGTGAATGAAAGTTTAGATAAATTCCTGACCTGTTTGTGAGTAACCAAGCCGGGTATCAGACATGGATTCAGCCTTGGTCATTGCGTTCCCCTTTTGGTCTCCAA